CCGAATAGCTAGTTGTTTAATAATTAATATTTGCTAATATGTCTAATTTATTTTAGTAAATTTTATGCCTCTATATATATTCTATATATATATATATATATATATTATTATTTTTTTGGCATTTTTTAAAATAAAAAATTATAATTGATTGATCTGACTTTCTCTTAAATTTAATTTAGAACGTTTGCTATTACTCCTTCGCTCCATTCAACACGGTAGCAAGCTTCCTGGCGCCATAAACGACCCCTGGTTCCATGAATGTCGTGTTCGTTTTCTACTCCTGCTTCAGCGACGACTTTATTCATCACAGTCCGAAAATCAAGCTAATGACCAAGTCCCTATTAGCCAAAAGGCCTGCTCCGTTGGGCATCTTTATTCATCTGCCCCAGTAAAAGGTAATTTTTCCATTCCTTCGATTTAGAAATATCGATCTTTTAAGAATTAATATAATTCGTTATTTCAGAGCTGAAATCAACTGTGTCTTATAGAAAATTTGTTTGATTCATTGATCAAGTATTGAAACAGGCAGCCGTTTGGCTTTTATATGACGTTTATGTTGGAGCAGCCAATTAGATATTCTTTCTCATTTCGAGTGAAACCGGGCTGGGCTTTTGTTCGTCATATTATGGGCGTTATCAGAGCTGGAACTTATTCATGAAGAAGTTTCAAGTTAAAACTAAGTCAAGAAGACTATCTGTCTTTGTCCCACATACTATATATACTCAGGCAAAAAAGAAAATATGTATATTGATGGGTCTTTTCTTCTAGCTTAAATTGTGGTTATACATATTCGTCATGCTTTTGGCTATAACATTAGACTTATTCCACTTTCAAACCAGTTACATAAACGGAATCGAATTATTCTAATATGATACTGTAACAACCTATTTACTATATGATGAAAAGTGATACTTTTTGTATCAAATTGTATTTTCATAAAGAGAGTTTAACAGATCATTTGTTGTCTTAAATAGATAGGATCAATTTTCATCGTTAAGAAATAAGACATGACTCCGTAAGGATATATAGTGGCAGTATACTTTATTTTTCTATTTAAATATTATTTTTGGAATTTTTTTTTATTAAAGTAAGCGTCAAAATGAGTTTCGTATATCTATTGTTGCAAGAAATTTTATTTAATGGGAAATATTTATCGGAAGGAATATGTAATTTGGTCTCATTGGAAGTCGAAGGAGGATGGTCTAGGAGGGGTAAAGAGGTCCTTGGCCAGCCGTCCTGCGACTCCGAGGAACCTATTGTGATTTACTTTCCAATGAAATCGTTCGTTTTCAGGCTACATCTATTCATAAATTCTCTCCAACCAACTTTTACCTCGAAAATTATTTTCACTTCCAAATCCAGTTTCTCTTTTCCTATCTAGTTTGTTTAAACATAATAAGGGATTTTGCTGTGCTTAAGTTTTGTAAGGTGTATTTTGTCATTTCTCGTATCAAATCTTATAACTCCTCAGGTATTATTATTACACAAGGCTTCAGCCAAGTTGTAATTGGGCAATCGCAGTTATGAAGATAGTGTGGCCTCTATTTGAATGGCAGCCTCCTTTTACTAGATAACGTTGATTTGTCCTTGTTTTGTCAGAGGTTCCAAAGCCATGATAATTTTCGGCTTTGGAGCTTGAACTTGTACTTCCACTTAAGCTGTTGAGTCGCATGGATAAGATAGAAATTTTAGTCCGTACGATCAAAGATGAAAGAGCCTTCTACAATCCCAACTCTTTAACTTTGGCTAAGTGATTATTGTTACCTCTCTTGCTGTATACTTTTTATTGATTATCTAAGCCGTGGCTTTTAGGGACTCCGATATTGTTTTTATAAATGATAACTTATTTTATAAAACAGGATTTCCCTTTACCAAACTTAGAAAAATAAAAAACAGTGTTTTGTTTATGAGCAGGTTTTAGAGATTTATAGTAGTTCCTATACAAGAGGGTTTTTACTCCATTTCGTTTAAGGTTATCAAAGGCTTATATTGTATCTTTCCCACAATATTATATTGTTTTTCACATTTTATTGTTTCCTAGAGCTTATTTTACTACAGGGTGGACTGCATTTTCAGCATTGCCACCCAGTGGGACCTGAAATCGGGTAATGCAATGTATAGTCTCAAGTTAATCACTACGTCACGGTTCTACGAGTTTTCTTGGGTCACGGGTCAGGAGGGAATTTCATGGAATCCTAGGCCTTTCCAATATCAAATTTCTGTAGAAAAGATTGTCGCTATGACGAGTAACTCGGTTTCTATGAGTCTCCTGAGATAACATTATTGTTTGGACTTTCATTTCGTATGAAAGTGTATGAAGCAGCGATTCGAAGGTCATTCTTATCAAGAGAGGACGCTTTAATCCCTTTGTACTGCAGCTGTTTGGCTTTTATACGACGTTGAGATTGATGCAGTCCACGAGACCTCCCTCTTTTCAGATGAAAACGGGCTGAGCTTTCGTTCATCATATGATGGACTTCAAAGCTGGGACTCATTCTTGTAAAATTCTCAGATTAGCACTAAGACAAAAATACTATTTGGCTCTATCTTATATAGTCTCATATAAGCAAAATAGAATAAAAAAACATATATCGATATAGAATGTTTTTGTTAATTATTTTTATTATGGTCACTCTTTTGGATAGCGGTTCAATAACTCTACTTTCAATCTGTCAATCAAGCATAAGTAGTTCATACTTAACTTTCTATCACCGTTCTTCACATTCAAGTTATTTCCTAATCTATTAATTTCAATAACCTCTAATCTTTCTTTTAACTCCAGACGTACCATAATCAGCAAACCTACTAATTTGAGCCACACTATCTCGTCCAGTTTCTAGCATGTGTTCGGCTACTTCTGACCGTTGGACCCAGCTTCTTTTACAAGCATTCTTGTGTTCCCCCAATTTTTGTCGAATAGGTCAGCATGTCTCACCAACATAAGATCGACCACATGAGCAAACAATCTTGTAGCAGCCGGACCTCGATAATGGGTCATATCACTCTTTAAAAGATGGGATAACAGATGAAGGTGTGAGGGTTTCTTTAAACACTGTTTTTATCCCCCACTTCCTTACTAATTCGTTCATCTTTTTTTAAAGAAGTTATGATGGTAAAATTAGGACATGGGAAATGGTCTCAGCTTGTCTTTGTTTGACTAAATGTTGTCAATGTGAAAATTTATTTCTCACTAAAGTGATATTATTCTGAATACGGCCCTAAGGATAGTTATTTTCCGGGAATAAATTTGTCAGCCGTTCCAACTGTTTAGTCAAATGTTTGCTATCCGCTTGCCTCATACTTCTAATAATCATTGACTTCTAACCTTAGTCTTGTAACTATGGTTGGAAAGAAAATGAAGCAGAGCCAACATATGTTTGGCTGCCTATAAACATATCTTGCTAACTTACCCTCTTCTCTAATGGTGAGAAGATTCATAAATGGTAAGGGATTATTCTGTTCTATTCCCATTTCTTTTGGGAACCTAATGTTCCTTTCACGCTTGCTGAGAAAGAGTAGTAAACTATTTAAACTTTTCTCATCATGAGGCCAGATGATAAAATAGTCATCCATATTGGGGTTTAGTATTGTTTATTCCAGGAATTGTTTCTCCAGTCCTGCTGTATAATTGTTCGCCAAGATGGGAGCCAGGCAAGATCTCATCGCTAGTCCTTGTGTTTGTTTCTATAACTTGTCATCAAAGGTAAAATATGTGCTAGTCATGCATAGGTTAATAAGTGTATTTAGGGAAGCAACACTCAACATTAGTACTTGCGTTATCTCTGGACGCTACTCGAGAGCTTCAATAACTCCTTGTACATAGACACATAAAAACTTACTAGCTTATCCTGTGAAAGTGTCTGCTGATCAATCAATTTCACAATACCATTAGAATTTTTAACTGACTAGCCAAAAATGGGCAGATTTTCTTAGTTGTATGCGTAAAAAACGTGAGATTATATGTATCACGCTTCCTTTATTATTTACAATTAATCTTAGAGAGGGACCCTCCTTGTGAACCTTAGGGAGACCGTAAGCCGTGGATACCCTTGCATCTCTCTGCAGCAGTGAATTTATTTTCCACTTCTCCTCTTCGAATCTTCTTCATACACTTTCATACGAAATAAAAGTCCAAACAATCATGAGGAGATTGTCGACAAAGCAAGACTGTATTTGCTATAGCAATCGTCTATGTAAATTATTTTTTACTTTAAGGTATGTTTTCAAGTTTCCTATGCCTCTTGCTGGTGCTGATCAGACTTAGGCGAGGTTGAGACTGCAGTTCGCTCTGGATGAAAATATCTTGTGGGAGGCTAGCCCATGTGAAATTCTATTTACACACTGGTAGAGTTGAACAAGGATTTAAGCACCCAATGTCTCACTAACTCTTATCCCTGCTATACCCATTTCACACATTTGCAAGGCATTGATAATTAATATCCTTTATACCATTATTCATTCACCATTCTTTTTTATTGCTGCAAATTAAATTACTTTCTGAATGCTTGTATCTCTTAGACTGTCGCTAATGGCTGTTTTCGGGCTATATTTACCTTTTATATAAGCTTGTTTGCTTTATTTTATTTAGAGGCCACTACTGGAGGCATCGTGGATGAAGTGCTTATTTCTCGCTTACCTTTAATCTTCCCTGGCTGGCCTGATTCTCCTTCTGCCTCACCTACTGGAGTGAATACCGCCTTTATGGAACGCAATTCCAAGTCCTATGAGCATCTTTTTAGAGGTGAGCATTTATCTGTAAGAAATATAATTTTACATGAATAAGTCTTAACAGGGGATGCTCAAATGTAAATGGCAAACATTATCGGATCTACTTAATATACTAACATTTTTTATTTTAACTCTTTTTTCATCTTTGCTGCTTCCATATTCCTAGGATTATTCCCAATTGCTTGAGCTTTTGAGGTGCTACCCATTTCAGGCAA